AAATAACACATCATGTAATACGCTTTATTCACCGCTTACAAATCAAAAATTATTTAAAATATACATTAAATAAATAAAGTAAGGATTTTCAAAATGCAAAGATGAAGACAAAGAAATCAAACGAATACGTTTTCTATTCCTGGTAATTCATTCGAAGATCTCTAATGCACTTGTTTTATCTATAAAATATCGATTACTAATATTGATCATATGAAAAATACAGAAATCATCACATATATTTATATAGCACATATTACTCCGTATCTTTACTTGGATCATCCATAAGCTCTTTAGTTACCTTATCCATAAATGCATTTATTTCCACAGAACTGTACGAAAGATCTTCATTACTGATAAAATGTACTGAACCATATTCAGAACTAAATTTACGAATCTCAATACCTAATTCATAATCGACATTTAAATCTTCCATAATTAGTTGTACACTCATTTCTGAAATGATGACTTCACTAATAAAATTATTCCTATCAATTTCTAATAATATCAAAGTATTTTCTATAATAATCTTGCTAATAAAATCGAAAAATATTCTATAACCTAAAAATCCGTAGTAACCAGGAACAAAATCATTCACTCTATCAACCAAACACAGTGGATTATTCTTTGCAAAATGTGTACGCCCCATGAATCCCTTGTAGAAATATGTACCAAGAAGTTTTTGAGCAAATTAATTACTTTGTTTTATTTTTTTTAAGGTTCAGTCATTTTTTCAATCTATCGATTTTAGCTTGAATTTCTTCTTTCGTTAAAATATACTTTTTATCATTTGTTATGAATATAAATTCATCATTTTTGGTGACAGGTTTCTTTTCAGTCTTTTTATCTAGTAGTTTTTGTTTTTTAAAAATATTCAAAAGAAGTGTTTCAACTTCTGGCAACTCATCGTCACTATTACTTTCAGAAATGATAATTATTTCTCTTTTAAATTCATCATTTCGTTTTCTTTTAACTTCTGTATTTAACCCACAAGACATTAACGCAGTTTGTTTACTTAGAAGATCACTGTCATAATCTAATACCATTATTATAATTCATTTAATAAAAAATAATTATACAATTAGTCTATTTAAATAAAAATATTTATTTATATTTATTTATCGTACAATGAATATTAACTTTATTGAATATTAGATTATTACTAATCCCCCCAAACCTTTAGGGCAAGATCAAATATTTCCCATACCCGGGTGGTGATTGTATCCGGTCTGGGTCGGGCACCCCATCCTGACAAACCACAACAATCTGCTTGCGCGGATCATCATAGTTTGTTTCGTATGAGTTTATTATTTTTTTTTTAATTTTTATTCTTTTAATTCGTAAATTATTATTGGGTTAAATTTATATTCTCTTTATTATTCTTAGTAATACATTTATTATTGATACTGTTGC